CATAATATTATGTATTTGTTGTACAAAGAATTTGACTTAAGTAAAAATAAAATATACTTCTTTTTTTCTTTACATTAACTTTATTGAGCCACATAGTACAATTTTGTTCCACTATGTTCTACCATCTTTTAGGCAATGTCATTATTCCACCTTCAGAATTTTTTTCTCTTTCTCAGCAAAAAACTTGTTTTGTTCAATTATCTAAAGACAATAATATATAGTAATCTAAAAGTGAATATAGCAGATGAATGAAAACCTCTCAGCCAATCTATCCCAATTTTTACTTGGTCACTAAGAAGCATAATACCATCTAGTATTATCCTGATTAAATAATTATTTTCTTTCCTTTCATTCTTTTTTAATAGTTGATTGCTGTCTTCAGTTGGTCTAATTGGGAGTAGTATTTGTTTGAATCCTATCTGCAAGATTCACACAGTAGAAGACCACCCACTTCCATTCCTATCATTCACACAACATTACTTTCTTTAAATAAAAACTTGCATTTGGTTTACCCTACTATGCTTTGCATTCTACATCATTATAACTTTTTTGATGTTTGTTTTATGTTTCAAAAACAAATTATTCTTAAGTTGTAAGTAGCAAATGATACATGGAAACATGATCCAGTAATTATTTTCTTTATTTGTACAAAAGTCACATGTGTATAATAAACTTAACATGAAGTGGTCTCTCCAACCATGTAGCATTGTTCAGCAAAAGATCTCTAGCATGAAACTTTTCAAACCATTTTTGACAAATTTTACCATCACACATAAATTGTATTAGTCCTCTTTTGAATGTTTCGCATTTTTACTATTCTTAAAATAAAATCAAAATCACAAGCAAATCCAAGAGAAAATTATAACATAATCAAAATATTAACATTCCACACTACAACAGATAAAATGTTAGGAAGGAAGCCCCCATCACTACTGGAAAGAGCAATAACAGCTACTGGAATTGGGAAATTTATTTTCACTAAAAATTGTATTGATTTTATAAATTTCAATCAAAATAGCACTGACTACTCTATTACTGAATGCTGAATGTTTTCTTATAAAGAAATGGCTAATGTTACCATTACCCTAATATTCCAAAAATGTTGCTGATTTTCTTCTATCTTATTATTAGAATCAATATAAAACTTTCCATGAATAAGAAAACTGTTACAGTACAGTCAGAAGCAATCTTTTTTGAATGAAATTAAAACTAAACACACTTTAATAAAAACAAAACAAAAAAATGATTGATTAATATTATGTACAGACTTAAGTCCATAGCCTTAATTGTTATTTAAAATTGTGCATGACTGTATGAAGGCTTTACTAACTAGGCTTTTTTTCAAGCCATCAGGAAAAGAAGGAATTTCCTTTAGAGATTGAAGGCTGAATGATTTCAGATGACAGGCTAAATTCAGCTGTCTACAGACTGATATTCCTTGATATCTGTTTTTATGTTTGCTTAAATAAATTCACCTTTCACTTGTATCTTTAAGAACACACAAACACACTATGCATATAGAAATTGTAAAATATGGATTTTTGGTGTCAGTTTGAATATCCTAAATAGAAAACTAACAAGAATTAATCTTTCTATAATTGTTTTGAATTGTTTGAATAAATCAATTTCCATTGATTATGAATGAAAGATGTTTGTTTTATAAGTAAATAGAATGGAGGAGGTCTATTGGTGGACTTCTAACAGATCAAGTAAAGCTTTATTTTGAAGTCGTTTTGATATTTGGACTATCAGTGATTCTTTTGTTACATACTCACTAACTTGTGACAGTGAATTCAGTTAGGATCAGAAAAATCCCAAACTTGGATATGCAACACATAAATTTACAAGGTGACTACTTTTAAGTTTGATAAATACAGAATACAAGAATTAGCAAGATGCAGAATTCTACTGAATTTAGTTTTAATTCCCTTGATTTGATACAATATTACTTTGATATTCATTTTAAATGTATTTCTTCATTTTTAACTTTTCTAGATTTTCTCTCTGACTTGCTTCTCTCTATTTTAGGGTACTTTCTTTATTTATCATATTATTCACCTTTTCAGAAACCTTTTCTTCTCATTGTGAATGTCTACTCTTTCTCTCATTCCCATTTGGTTAGTCTTATATAGATCTCTCCCTCTTTTTTTCAACTATGGCTTTCTCTCTCTCACTCTCTACTTACCTACTTCATGCTTTGTTCTCTTTACTTTGCCTCTTCTGTTTTTTCTAATCACTTTTCTCTGTCTTCTCTATTTTATTTGTGTTATATTTTTTATCGTCTTTCTTTACATATTTCAAAGGTTTTATCTTTCTGGATATTTTGCTTCCTCAACTAACAACTCCCCTAATAATTGCAATATGACTGGCCAATCCCTGACATTGATTTAACACAACTGCCATGCTTCTTACTCATTCTCTTGAAGATGAAGATGGCAGCAGTTGAATGTATTTCACTGTGCTCTTGATATTGACCCATTTATTCCAGTGTCCCCACCACCACCATGTGCCATATACATAGTTGCCATTCAATCTAGTTTCACGCTGATTAAACCCCCTCTTTAAAACACCACCCAACAACTTCTTGTCCACTCAAGCATGGAGTATGATGTTGCAATTCATGCATGCAAAGATAAAATGCTTTTGTGGTCTATTGTTTACCATTTCCTGGCAACTTCTTTCAGGACAAGAATTTTTTTTTTGTTACTTGCTTTAGGCATTTGTCCTTTACTGTTTTCATTATATATATATATATATATATATAAATTTTTCTTTAAAAAAATTTGTTCCTGTGGGAATTTTTTATCATTTTATCTCTTTCTTTTATTTTTTTATTTTCTTTTCATTTTGTTTTTTTTTTACTGCAATATTTACACTTGTTATTATTGTTGCTTTTAGCTTGATGCTTATGTTAATTACTTTTTATTTATTAGGTTTTATATTCTTATTTCTGTTCCATTGATTATTATATTGGTGTTGTACATTGATGTAGTTAATGGAAATTTTGTTCTTAAGACATGGTGTCAACAAGACTATTCATAACTAAGGAACTTTTCAGAGAATCCTCACAGTAAATGATGACATTTTTCTGGAGGTCTACAAACTTGGTCTGAGTTTGAATTCTCCTTAAGTGCTTTTTCAATTTTCTAGCTGGTGTTCCAATTGCACCATTTACTATGCAATTAGTTCTACATTCATGTCCATAACTTCTTCAGCTCCCTAACTAATTCCTGGCATTTTTCTATCATTTCAGATTTTTTAGAGTCCACTCTTGTATCCTATAGAACAGCAAAGGCAATATTTTGATCTATGACAATAAAGTTGATTTCATGCTTCAATGACATATATCTGAACTGAGAAATCCCATAATATCTTGTGACTGTCATTTTCTGATACTACCTCTGGCTGATGTTCATACCACTTTTCTTTTACTCTAAAGCAAAACTTATAGCAGATTTCCCAATGAATTCTTTTACTAATCTAATAATGTTATCTTTATTATTATGTCTTTGGGTAGGAGAGAAGTAAGGAAGTGGTCAAATACCATCTACTGCATTAATAAATTTAGATAGCATAATATTCTAATGGTATGAATTATATTTTGGACAATTAAGGCCAGAAGTAACAATAGCCCTTTTACATGTGCTGACACATACATGTGTGTGTATTAAATGTAAAATGACTTATTTGAAAATATTTCACAATTTCTTCTTCTGCACTATTTTTAGAACTCCTCACTGGTTCTTTGTTGGGTTAGCATTTAACTTTTATGATTAGACTAGTTCTTTATTACAAGATGACACATTTAAAATAAAAGTAATTTTTATAAAAACCAAACTTCAAACAAAGACCTACCAAGTTGTTTTGTACCTTTTTTGATGCCACCATTGCTAATTTAAAAATTTACTATTTTTATATTAGTATAAAATCTACTAAAGAGATAGCTTTAAAATTTCTGTTTTAATTTCTTGGGTAAGGAGTTATCATTATTTACACTTGAACTATTGTTCTTTTTTTGTTGCTATCACAATGTTTCAGCCCTCTTCAGGTGTCTTGTCAATACAGGTAATCTTCAGAGATAGTTCTATGCCTGCTTCCACTGAGTTTGTACTATACCTATGTCCCAAATTGCTCTTTCCAATTCTCAAACCAACACTTTAATCCTCTAACAAGGGTTAAGCAAGTTGTATTTGCACCATTTTTTTATGCTACCATGGCTAGTCTGAATGTTTATATTAGTGTAATATCTACTAAAAAGATTGCTCTACATTTTGGTCTCTATGTTGGTGACTCTGAGATTGATGGTTCAACAGTTTATAGCAAGAGGAGATTCCTTGAAAAATATTCAAGACAAATTTGAACTCTAAAAGCCATTACTCATCAAAGGATGATTTTTCCTTCTCTTCTCTCATGTTCAAACATTTTCAAAGACAGTTCACCAACAGAAAATTAATAAAATTTACTAGTTACAAGCGAGAAAGGCCTTGCATGTTATTAGGTAGATAATCTTATTTATATATAAAACTGTTCATAATCACTCTCCCCCCATAGCAAATATTTTCAGTTAATGTTGCCTGTCACATGTGATATGTTATTGGACTTTATGCAATAGGTAATTTATTTGTGCTAGCTTGGAACAAGGTCACAATTGTAGAGCAATGACAAAACATTAGTATTCTTCTGCTAGATTAATATGCTATTAGCTCATGGCAGGATAAACAGGCTTAAATCTACAATATAAAATTATTTTTGCAAAATGTAAGTGATGCTGTTAAAATAGTAACAAATTAGTTATAATTAACTATAATATTTTTAAAGACAGGGAAACTGGAAAGTGTTCAATCTAAGTTGTGAGTGGGAGATGGTTCACTGCAATATAGATTTCTTTATAATTTTCATGGGAAAGAATAGGATACCTTGTTTGAAATGTTGAAAGAATCTCTGTTTAAAGATTGAAGTCAGGTTCAGTGCTGTAACTTCTGAACATAACACAATGTACAATGATTTCATTTAAATTTCATTCAACATTGTTTACATTCTCCCTCTTCATTGCTTTGGATATTTTCTCTTTTTCTTTCATTGTTTTGGATATTTTCTTTCTTTTCTTTTTTTTTTCATTGTTTTCTATATTTTCTCTCTTCATTGCTTTGGATATTTTCTTTCTTTTTTTTTCATTGTTTTCTATATTTTCTCTCTTCATTGCTTTGGATATTTTCTTTCTTTTTTTTTTTTTTCATTGTTTTCTATATTTTCTCTCTTCATTGCTTTGGATATTTTCTTTCTTTTTTTTTCATTGTTTTCTATATTTTCTCTCTTCATTGCTTTGGATATTTTCTTTCTTTTTTTTTTCATTGTTTTCTATATTTTCTCTCTTCATTGCTTTGGATATATTCTTTCTTTTTTTTTTTGTTTTTTTATTTTTCTCTCTTCATTGCTTTGGATATTTTCTTTCTTTTTTTTTTCATTGTTTTCTATATTTTCTCTCTTCATTGCTTTGGATATATTCTTTCTTTTTTTTTTCTTTGTTTTCTATATTTTTCTCTCTTCATTGCTTTGGATATTTTCTTTCTTTTTTTTTTTTCATTGTTTTCTATATTTTCTCTCTTCATTGCTTTGGATATTTTCTTTCTTTTTTTTAATTGTTTTCTATATTTTCTCTCTTCATTGCTTTGGATATTTTCTTTCTTTTCTTTTTTTTTTTTAATTGTTTTCTATATTTTCTCTCTTCATTGCTTTGGATATTTTCTTTCTTTTTTTTTTCATTGTTTTCTATATTTTCTCTCTTCATTGCTTTGGATATTTTCTTTCTTTTTTTTTCATTGTTTTCTATATTTTCTCTCTTCATTGCTTTGGATATTTTCTTTTCTTTTTTTTTTCATTGTTTTCTATATTTTCTCTCTTCATTGCTTTGGATATTTTCTTTTCTTTTTTTTTTAATTGTTTTCTATATTTTCTCTCTTCATTGCTTTGGATATTTTCTTTCTTTTCTTTTTTTTTTAATTGTTTTCTATATTTTCTCTCTTCATTGCTTTGGATATTTTCTTTTTTTTTTTTTTTTTCATTGTTTTCTATTTTTCTCTCTTCATTGCTTTGGATATTTTCTTTCTTTTTTTTTGTTTTTTATATTTTCTCTTCATTGCTTTGGATATTTTCTTTCTTTTTTTTTTTTGTGTTTTCTATATTTTCTCTCTTCATTGCTTTGGATATTTTCTTTCTTTTTTTCATTGTTTTCTATATTTTCTCTCTTCATTTGCTTTGGATATTTTCTTTCTTTTTTTTTTTCATTGTTTTCTATATTTTCTCTCTTCATTGCTTTGGATATTTTCTTTCTTTTTTTTTTCATTGTTTTCTATATTTTCTCTCTTCATTGCTTTGGATATTTTCTTTCTTTTTTTTTCATTGTTTTCTATATTTTCTCTCTTCATTGCTTTGGATATTTTCTTTCTTTTTTTTTCATTGTTTTTTATATTTTCTCTCTTCATTGCTTTGGATATTTTCTTTCTTTTTTTTTCATTGTTTTTTATATTTTCTCTCTTCATTGCTTTGGATATTTTCTTTCTTTTTTTTTCATTGTTTTTTTATTTTTTCTCTCTTCATTTGCTTTGGATATTTTCTTTCTTTTTTTTTCATTGTTTTTTATATTTTTCTCTCTTCATTGCTTTGGATATTTTCTTTCTTTTTTTTTTTTTGTTTTCTTTATTTTTCTCTCTTCATTGCTTTGGATATTTTCTTTCTTTTTTTTCATTGTTTTTTATATTTTTTCTCTTCATTGCTTTGGATATTTTCTTTCTTTTTTTTTTCATTGTTTTCTATATTTTCTCTCTTCATTGCTTTGGATATTTTCTTTCTTTTTTTTTTCATTGTTTTCTATATTTTCTCTCTTCATTGCTTTGGATATTTTCTTTCTTTTTTTTTTTTTTCATTGTTTTCTATATTTTCTCTCTTCATTGCTTTGGATATTTTCTCCATTGCTTTCTATATTCATTGATTTGTATATTTTTTTTCTTCTTCATTGTATATATTCTCTCTTCTTCATCACTTTTTATATTTTCTTTCTTTTTTTTCTTCATGGCTTTGCATTTCTTCCACTATCAATTGCTTCATTTTTTTCTCTCCACTTTCCTTTCTTTCTTCTTGCATTTTTTTTTGTTTTTGTTTTGCTTGGAATTTTCCCCCACTTCTTAATTTATTTCTGCAGTGTCCACTTCGACATTCACTTTAACATCCAATGAATCTAAACACTGCCTTTAAATGTCCATGCTTTCACATCTGATTGAGGTGATGAGTATGTCACAAGAGAAGCACATACACACATATGCACATAGGCAGAAAAATGGAAGTCATACCATTCTTCCCATCATCCATCCATTGGGTTTCTTGGCAATAGTTTTTACAGCCATCCAATCACAGCAGAGACAGAAAAGTGTCCTCCTTGCACAATACATCAGTGTCTCCATCACTAAATATGTGGTAACTAATTACTATCATTATTGCTAAGCACATGTTAAAGAATTAGGAGGAGCAGACAGCTTCCTCCTAAAATGTATTGTTTTCACAGGGAAAAGTTGAGTGGAACAAAAGCCTAGCTCTTCAAATTCTTGGCCCATTTGCAATGCAGCGCAAGTGTAGCATCACCATTGCCTCAGGCTTACACCTGAAATGTCCATCTCTCCAGGTCCTTCCCTCCTTCATTTGGCAGCAGCTGCAGTTCCTTCTTCTTTACTTTTGCAACTAATAGTAACTTGAAGAGGTCCTTCAAAATCAAGAGACAATTGTTCAGGTCTCCATGTAACATACTTGTTAACTTTGCTTTTGAGTTATGATGAGTTTCGCCCTGATGAGCTATTTTGCCTCTTCAGTTTTTAATTTTCTTCTTCCTTCTCATCATCACACTCTACTCCATCATGTCATGTTGCCAGAACTTTCATTTTGTCTCCAGCATCTGAACCATTCCTAACCCAACAAATTCTTTATACTTTCTCTTCCTAAGCTCATCTTTATTTTTTATTTTTTTTGTACCCTTCACAATTTCATTATTATAGCATATTCATAATGCTGGTACCCCACTTGATTATCAAAATTAAATTTAAGTCTACAAGATTGTATATTTAAAAATCAGTTGTGCAGCATTTAGTGCTTTCAGAAATTTCTCTGCAATATGCTCATGTGGGGAAAAATTTGTGACTTGTATAATAGTTTGTTTTTTTTTTTTGGTGTTTTTTTTAAAGGAATTAATGGATTTTTAATTGTACATTATTACTTATTACTCTGAACATTAGAGTATATACTTGTTGAATAGATATCCCTGTTTTTTAAACAGTGAAATTAATACATGTTAGCCTAGAGATTGAAAGTCTTATTAAAGACAATGTGTCTCTTGATTGGCACATTTTATTTAATAAGACTTTTGATCTCTAGACCAAAAGATATTAATTTCACTGTTTAATAATGGGATATCTATTCAAACATGTTTACTTGCTAAATATATTTATAGTGACAAGAAATAATACTGTATCTAAATCTTTTTTTTTGTACTTTTGATATTTTTTCATGAGAAATTGAATTGCAAAATGTAAGCATTAAATTAACTGTTTAATAGATCATAGGTAATATTTAACAATAAATGAAAGAACAATATTGAGAACATTGATGTTTTGATAATAGACATTAACAAATAAACAAGAATTTTTTCTCATAAAATCTATATAACTGCAAATCAGTAGTACTCAATTTTTTTTCTCTTGGCTGCATTTTTGGAATTAAAATTTGCTTGTGCCTCACCAAATTTTATGTGATAAAAAGTACATTTAAAAAGGAAAATACAGAGAGTGGGTTAAAGTGAGATAACCAGGGATTTAAAATCAGAATATTAACATTGATAACTCTCTCCTCTAATATGCAGACCCTAGTTACTATATTCTTAATACTTGATATAATGCAAAAATATCACAATGATAAAATCGGTCAGTAATTATTTATAACTATTTATACTGAAAACTCATGCATGCAATTAGAAGTAGTCCATAATTTTAAATTTTGAAATCATATTTATTTTTGGCATACAAATTTTTTGAAACTGTTTCTAAATCTTTGATCATTTTTCAATCATTCCACATCATCTGCTATCCTCTTCTGCCACACCTATGGAGCATGCCACACTGTTTGGGAACCACTGGTATAAATAGACAAACCACTGCTTAATAGTGTCAATGATGCAATTTCTGTTTGTTTTTAATAATTAGAATGATCTGCTGTAAAACTGAAATAACACAACATGGCAGATCCACAAGGACAGTGAATTTTAATATGAATGCTTTTTTGTAATAATTTTTGTGGCAAAGACTTTTTCAGGCAAAATAAATGGGATCAGCTGTATAATATTTAATAGGAATAACACATGAGAAAATCTTGTGTAATGAAAATTAAGTGTCAAACTTAGCCTTAGTTCAATATTATTTAATCTTTATCTAGCAGGAAGCAAAAATTGTCACCATAGAATTCTCTCCCTTAACACCTGTAAGCATATTCTGTTGCCTCAAGAAAAGTTGCTATGAATAAACACTTGTCAACTGCTATTTCCAGTATTTTAAGCTGGAAATAGCCTACTCCTGCTTTGGAACTAGACTAAACTTCTGTTTACTGATGCCATTTTAAATTTTTCTACACTCTACATGAAGTGCAACATTGATTTAAACCCACGTTAATTTGTTGTGATTTTTTGTAAACAAAAATAGCCACATCAACATTCAATAAAGCCTTTATTCAGAAGTTTTTTTTTGATTCAGACTCTGATGATGATTTTGAAGGCTTTATTCAGGCAGATATTGATGGTGAAGTGGTTGGAGATGGAAATGATAATCATGCTAGTGATGGGGAGGAAAGCTATGATGACTGTAAGGTGCTGAGCAGATACTATCATCCATGGCTGACTAATTTTATGGAAGCTACTGGTCCCATGGATGTACCTGATAGCCTTTCTGAAGGTGAATTGTCTGTTTATAAACAACGAAATAATAACTTTATTTGTCAATAAGATAAGTATATATGCTAGTCAAGGAAATGAGAGGAATAAATACTGGTGTCTACTTGTATGTAAACATGTGGAAGGATGTCACATTTAAAAAAATGAAGGCCTTCTTAGCTATTTTGCTTTTCATTGCACCTCAGAATGCCACAAGGAGTAATATGTTTAAGTATGTTAAATTGTTAATATATTTGTTTTTTATTTTTTATTTCATTTTTTTGTTTGTTTTCAATGTCAAAACATGCATGCAAAACATAATGCATTAAATCAAAATATTACTTATCCATTCTTTTACTAGTATACAAAAAATAAAATCTATACACACAATACAAAGAATGTTATAACAATTTTAAAATAGTAGGTGCTCATATTTTTTGTACCCTAAAAAAAAATGCAGTGGCAGGGGGAACAATTCTAGAAGGAATTTGGTAGGGTAATGGTTAAATTTACATAGTTGCATTGTAGAAATTCTGATTATGTGCCTTTCATTTCTCAACTTTGCTAAAATATTTCCTTTTACTGAGAGAGAATCATATAATTATTTACAATTTCCTAACAGTACTTGTACCTAAACAATCTTCCATTTCAGTTATAGATTAGCATTGCTTAACTTTG